TTAAAGCACTTTAACATATTGTTATTTTGACAAGAGAGAAACCCGTGTGCCTTCAAATTGATTGCTTATAGCACTATTTACCAACATCACATTTGCCTACAACTTGATTACTTCTTTTTTTAGTTTCTTAGTATATTCCCCGGGTTTGGTTTTCCCCACTTTTTGGGGGGGTTACAAACGTCACAGTACCATGCGTATTAGTTTAGCTTCAGAGCCTCTACAGAGAGCAGAGGCTCGCTTATGTTTTTGCATTTGATAGTAGTTTGCATTCTTACTCCTTAGAGTGTTTGTCAACACTCGAGGGGACCTACAGTTTAACGCCGAATCCGAACGGCGAACGCACAAAATTGCGTATATGGGGCACAGGTGGGATTGAACCCGGATCCACAAACCACGAGTCAATCGCACTGTGCGGCGCCTCAACTCGATTATTTATATACATTATTTTGCATATATTTAAAATTAAGAGAAAAAGGCACGTTTGCACATACTGCATTGCACACATAATACGAATATTATTGACTACAGACTGATTGCTCACAAGTCTTTTTGTGCACAAATAAAAATTTCAGAGACTAAGTCACATTTGCCTACACGTATTATTGCCTACAGATTAACTGTCTACAAACACTATTTTGTGCTTTAAAACTATCAATTCTCTGTTTTAAAACACAAATTCTCTGCTTTGAAAATACAAATTCTGTTTTACAAATACAAATTAATTTTTTATATAATTTATGTTCTTATAGGCAATCGAGCTGTAGGCAGTTATTTTTGTGCGCAAACGAACTGTCAGCAATGCAAATGTGATGCAAACGATGGTATAGGCGAAAAAGGAGTTTTCTCCTCTGACAATAAATCTCTAATAATAAATGGTAAATAATAATGAAAAACAATGTTTAAAAAATCAATGGAAGTTTTAAAAGTAAATATAACTAACATGAAGGGGTTTCATAATTTATTACGTACAAAATGCTAGAAGCAATATCCATAGTCCAATCTTATATTTGAAGTCTTGAGTTGCCTTAAGTGATCTTGAGATTCCATTCAACTAATGACCGTACAGCATCTCAAGGTTTTGAAACCATCTGACATACAAAAATATGAATGCCGCTCAAATCATACGCATTTGAAGAAAAATGAATAAATAAAATAAATGTCTGATGAATAAAATAATTATCAGATTACATTGACTATCGATAAATGTAATTATATTGAATATTCATTGTTATATTTAATATTATTTCAATATTTTATACTTTATATTTCAAGTAACGTGGTTTAATATATTTGAAAAGAAGTTATTTAGAGAGGAAGTAAAAAAGAAGACGAGAAAGAAAAATAATTATTTAATAGAAAAATGCAAAATATAAAGTTATTTAAAAAATTACTTTTTAATCTATTTTAATATTATACTTAGCTATACTCACTCTCCAATTTATCTAATTTCTGAAGTATAAATTAAAGTGGTGTGTATATAAAATTCTTAAAACAGACAAGCAATTTTTAATATTTCTGCAATAATAACATTAAATCGGTTAACTTGACTGTACAATCTGCAAGTATTTATTCAAGATTCTTTAAACGTCATCAACCGGATTTTTGCTTATATATACAAATGTGCATAGCTAGCCTGTGTTAAATTCCACTATCAGCAATATGACTACCAATCGTACACAATTATCCGACAGGGCCAGATTTGCAGTTATTGAAGCGTGGTCACTTTAATTTCAGTATAAATATATATTCCCGGGAATAGTTCTCGTAAAAACCATCACAAGTTTCTCACGAATAGGTATGTAACCGTATAGATTAAATTATGTTTACAAAAAAATATTCACTATTGCATAACATGCTACTTGAATTGAAAATTTGAATGTTGTTAGCCGTCGGTAATAATAATGTCGAGAAATGTTCGTGTTTATCGCGTTTCGCAAGCGAATCAATAATATTTAAAGAAACAGCGTTAAATGACGACAGCTGCTTATTCTTTGGGAAATACGATTTTAATTTTACGTCACGGTACAGTGCTTTGCAATTCAATGAAAAAAATTAAGAGTATTAATTAATTTTGATACTAAGAAAACTAATATAAGTAAAAAGAGATAATTAATTCAATTACATTTTCTCAGAATTATCATAAAAGAAAAATGTTTGCACCTTTAGATCTTAAAATAAATCAACTCATACGTAAATAATAATATGTTAATAGAAAACTTAATATGAGTTGATTTGTTTTCAAAATCTAAAGATGCAAACATTTTCTTTTTATGATATTTCTGAGAAAATGTAATATATTCTAATTTTTATCTAAATTCAATATTTTGAACTTTAATTTTTATACATTATTTCAAACACAAATTTTACAAATCTTTATCTTGTCATGAGTATTATTTCACAATCCAGTTTTAACAAGCCGTACTCTTTTAGAGACTTATTTACATATATACACACAGGGTGAGTCATAGGTCATATAGGTATGTTTTAAAATTTCGCGAGCGTATTCCTGAATAAAAACGAAAAACAACTGTTTCTGTGAACATATTTATCGCAAATCCTTATCAGAATAATAGATACAAATACCTACAGTAATGTTAATAATGATTGTACTTATATAAAAATTTTAAGTGAATAACATGTTTTACAAGAAATGCTTAAAGTGTTTTTTATCATTTTCCATATATGATTGAACACGACACATAACTGATTTTTTTATATTTATTTGTGTTAAATATTTCGAGAACAAGAAATTTGCGATGTAATGCCTATAAGAACATTTATTCTTCCTTCTTAATTAAAAACACGCTCATGAAATTTTAAAACATACTTACAATTCACCCTCTGTACATATAATGCTTTATCTATACATATTTTATACATATGCAATTATAGTTTCTAAAAGCGTAACTTTTTACTAAGTTAGAAATAATTCTTTTTTTATCTATATACTTTGTAATATGTCATTATAATATGTTAATTATAAAAGCTAATAATGATAATATATCAACGAAGTCAACAAAGAAATGATTAAATTAAAAAATTGAGTAATAAATAATTTTTTTAAGCTAATCACGTATTTTTAAGATATACACTAAATTTTATTTGATTAATAAAATAACATAATTTTTTACAAAAACAATTTTATTTAATAATAATCTCATCTTTTAAAGTTATAAAAATTTCTAAATTTAATTTTAAATAATTCTGTTTGATTTTTTCTACTTTGTAATAAAAGTGAATAAATTCAGCAAATTTTAGAAAAAAATTTCTTTAATCAGTCTGCAACAATTAAATTGTATAATTTATAGAAATATTTACATTATATAATTTTTTAATGACTTGTTTATACTTAAAAGGATAATTTAAAAATCGAATTTATCAAAATCCGTTATAAGAGAATTGATCTATAGTTCAATTTTTATACTTTCTCTGCTTGTAAATGTAAAATTTATCACAATATGTTTTTGTGTGAAAAGGATATTATAGACGAAAACAAATCTATTTATCAGAATCAAATTATAAATATCCTATTAAATAAAATTTATTATCTACTTTTATGAAATACAAACAAAAGCATGTAATTTGACAAAATTTATGTATTTTTGTATTAGAATTTATCTACTTAATATTTCAGCTTGCTGTAGTATTTACTTAAAATTTGTTTGACTTTTTGTAATTCTATTTGCTGTATTCTTAAAATCATTTTTGATATGTTAATTATTGGAAAAAAATACATTATATATTAAAACAACCAGTGTCACTAATGAAATCATCTCATATGTTATGTAAAATATTTTAACGCACTGAATAAATTTCTCAGTTAAAAAAGATTCAATGTAAAATGTATACCCTTATATATACACGTGTTATAACAGCTAAAGTTTCTTTGTTTAGTCATTGCAATCATTAAATGCGGGTGTCAGTATAATTTTCTTGATTTTCCCTAAATAATTATCTTCTTCTACGTCAGTACAATGTTATATTACGTATCTAGTAAGCAAAAAGTATTAGATCAGCGGGGGGTTTAAAATATTGATTTATATACATTTTTTAATGTTTTTATATAACATTTAATAAATGTAGTTACAATATTACCTAATAATGTTTATGAACTTTTAAAAAGCGTTCTTAAGAGATTTCAAATATTCAAATGTTAAAATATTTTATAAATATTTCATAGAATGTTAAAAAATGTTACTAAGATGTTGCAATATTAAATGCTAAAGTGTGAATGTTTTTAACATTGAATCTATATTGATTATTAATGTTGCTACACAATGTTAAAACAATATTGAACAAATAAATATTAAAGTTACTCACTTAGAAGTAGTACACGACATCCTCTAGGTCTAGATAGACTTAACGTAATAATTTTCTCATAAATAATCGTTACAATACAATAGAATAAATGTCGCAATCATGAGATTTTTCATTTGTATTCTAATAAACTGGTTTTTATGTGGGTAACTCATGAACTCTAATATGAAAGTAAATGAAATGTATTTTAAAAGTATTTCGTGTAGTTTTTGTGTAAAAATTAATTCAGGAATCTTATATTCTTGGAAAATTATATAATATTAAATAAATATTAAATAGATGTTCTCGAATGTTAAACTGCAACGTTTGCGAAACATTACTTTAACAAACATTGACCGTTTCTAAAATACCTTTCAACATTTTGCAATGTTGCAATTTAATATGTTTGAGATGTTGATTCAATATTATCATAATATTGTTTGTTACGTATTTCTGATAATTATCATTTTCGAAATCTTTAAATTATGCTCAAAGTTCTTATAATGATGTTGTACACAACGTTAAATAGAATATATTTAAAAATATGTTATATAAAAGTTGTAATAACATCGTAGTAATGATTGTTTGTTTACTGGGTACTCGTATTCGATGTTAATAGAATGTCCCCTCCTCTACGTGTCCCTCTTACTCACCTTCATACTCTTGCATTTCCTTATCTCAGTCGAAGCGCGGTTATGGTTGCGTTTACCACGATCTCCTATCGTGTCTCATGTTATAAAGGACTCGTCAACTTCCGTCAGTTTTTATGTGTTTCAATTTAGGCGAGAAGCAGCATTCTAGAAGAAGCATTCCAAAGAAAGAATTTCTTACATGTTACAAAAACCTAAGTTGATAGAAAGCTGAATAATTACCGGTTCGTTGAAACGGTGATTGATTGAGTATCGTGATTGATTGTGAATTTTTCTTTGTTGATTTTCCAAGTGGAATTGGATAAATAGAAAAATATTTCCCGCTCTATACACCTAGAAACGCTAGTGAGATGACACGGAGAAGTAAAAACTATCTTGAAGACATGTTGGACATGTCAGAGTTTCCAAACATTAACGACAGTCAAAGTGAAATTCCCCAATTCTTCGCGGGATGCACCGTGTTAGTAACGGGTGGTTCCGGTTTTCTCGGCCAACTTCTAATAGAGAAATTATTGCGGTAAAAAGATATTTTTATATAAATGGCTTCATGCAGAAACGATTTATATAACATTAACAATGTAAATAACTTTGCAATGAACCGTCTTTTTTAAAAATTATTTTAAAGGTGTTTCTTATAAATTTTTAGATACTGAAAATGATACCGTAAGCCAAATTTCACCAGTACGTTCAGTCGTCGAAATAATTTAGCTGTGCCAAAAATTGTTTTTTAACAATATTTGATATTTTTTGTAAGAAAGGTTAACGTTATTTGGAAATTCTGATCAGACATAATAAATGTATTATTAACCTTTTTTATGAAAAATGTCAAATATCATAAAAAAGCAATTTTTGCACAACTCAATTATTTTGGAAACTCGACGTATTGAAGAAATTTGGTTTGTGGCATCATTTTTCTCATTCAAAATCTATAAAGAATACCTTATTTAATATAAAATAATTGAATATTTCTTTTTTGTTATAAATTAGTGTAATCCATTGAATCACGTTAATCTAACTAACTTAATGATCTGTAACACGCAAGTAATAGAACGTTAAATTACGCTGTTTCATTTTTAGAAGATTAAATATAGTGTAGCTAAAATTAATCATTTTATTTGATATAAATTTATTAATAATAAATAACATCTCTAGATGCTGCCCGGATATAGAAAAGTTGTACATATTCATGAGAGCAAAAAAAGGAAAAACCCCCGAACAAAGGTTCGAAGAACATTTCAATGACCCTGTTAGTATTTAATATAAATAATAAGTATATAATATATAATATATATAATATAATATAATATAATTAATATAATATAATATAATGTAATATAATATAATATAATATAATAGAAGACAATATAATATTATAAATATATATATAATTAAATGTAAAAAATGTTTACCATATCAACAAAATTTTTTTTTTAGGTTTATGACAGATTAAAGAAAGAGCAGCCCAATTTTAATACCAAAGTAATAATGATACATGCCGATTTAAGCAAGTTGGATCTCGGATTATCAAAGGAAAATCGAGAATGTCTTTTGGACACAAATGTAATATTCCACGCAGCAGCGACCGTACGATTTAATGAATCGATTCGAATTGCAGTGAATATAAATATAAGAGGGACAAAGCAGCTTCTTCTCTTAGCAAAAGAAATGCCGAAGTTAAAGGTATATAAAAAAATATTATTTTAATTAAGTTTTAAATTTTATAATTGTAGAAATTTAATTTATTTAATTTTAGTCATTCGTTTACGTATCTACTGCATTTTCCCATTGTGTAAATAATTTCATTGAAGAAAGATATTATCCTACGCCTATGGAAACGGATAAGATTTTGACTTTAATCGATATTATGGACGATAAAAAATTGGACAAATTTATGCCAACGTAAGTGCTGTTCTAACATTAAAAGTTACAAGAATAGAAGTCAAACGTTAAAATATTTACAGTTGACTCAGCATTAAGCTATTGACATTTCATCATTACATTGCATTACATTACAATGCGCGGTATTGTATATAATTATAGCATAACTTTTCTTTCACGTTTTCATTACACAGTCAATATTGTCAATAATAAAGAGATCGATTTAAAAAATAAGGTCAAGTAAAAGGATATGATGAAAATTCTATTGCTATACTTGAATAAAAACCATCTAGCATAACTTCAATAAATGAATAGAAACTTGTTTTACAATAGTCAGGTCATGTACTGACATACATTGCCAGTACTGAAAATCTTTAATTTAAGTTGCGTACTATATTTTCAATAATGGCCAAATATCGGAACACAGTTTATATTGCATTTTCAATTATTATTCATAATTTCCTTCAACATTATTATGCAATTATCCTTACAATTTATTACATCAAAAACCGGCTGTCAGGTTTTTTATATAAGTAAATAAATTATAAACAATATTTTTAAAGGGAAAAAGATTTTTATTAAAAATGTTAAAAAATAAAATGTTTTAAAGTTTTACTTCATAAGTACAAAAACTATATTTTTCTGAAATTTAACATATAACACTTGTGTAATATCATATGAGTATGCACATTACACAAGTAGATAATTTACGTTAACGCAACGTTTTTACACTTTATAAAAACATTAAACAGATGCAATGTTGTACGCTTACATATACATTTAGAAAACCTTCGAAAAATCTATCTCGTCTAAAAACAGTATTCTAACCTATTAAAAAAAAGTTTAATGGATGTCAGAGACGTTTATAAGATTATTAAATAGTTTAAAAAAGTATCAGAGTTAAACATTTACTTTAAACATTTACTTTTTAGTTTATTACGTTTATTGCAAGATTTCGAACGTTTATTAAACATACAGGGTCTGCCAAAAGTGTGGAAAGCCCTTAATATTTCGAAAACTAAGTATTCTTGAGAAAAATGTTTCAAACAAAAGTTATAGGATTTAAATAAATCTATTTACTGATTATACATCGGTTTGATCTTGGATGGCGTCTCCAAGGTTAGGTCAAGGTCATCGATTTTTTAAAATAGAATACCCCATTTTTTATCCCAGAATTTAATAGGTGGTATTGAGAGCTCTCCAAAACACTATAATAAAATTATTTTTCACTAAGTACTTTCCAAGTTATGATGCTTGGAAATTATAGTACTGCCGATATTAGTATCACCCAACGTGTCCAATCGACGGTTAGAACCTCTAGAATATTGTTCAGGATCATATCTTGGATAACATTTGTTCAGAAAATGGAAAATTTTTAAAAGTAACAAATTACAATTACTCGTTATCGAGTAGAAAAAATAACAAGTTACCATTACTAATTATACCGATTTTTAAAAGTAACTCGTTACCGTTATTTGAGAAAATAATTTTTCGTTACTTTTCCGTTACTTTTTCAAAATCGACGACCACCAATTACAGCAGAGGGACTTTCTAGTCTCAAGCGCTGTGTGGTTTGTGTCCAATCGTGTGCAAAGTAACAATAAAAGTAACTGTAAAAAATTCGTTACCATTACCAAAAAAAATGTAATTTCGTTATCGTTATAGTTTGTCTTATGTATTATGTGGCGCTCAAGATTTTTTATATCTGTTTAACTCGCTTAATACTATATTATTATCTACTGGGCTGGCTTTGTAACAGCAGTTCTGCTGGTGCTTTGCCACTTGCTGTATGCATTTACATTACAATAAAGATATATATTGGAGATTATTCCTTTTATTTTCATTGTTGCACTAAAAATTCATTTTTACATAAAAATGAAAAAATTTACATAATTTACATAATTTACGTAAAAATGAAAGTAAGAGGTACAACCTCCAATAGCTTTGATTTTGACAAATGTTATCTAAGTCACGATCCCGAACAACATTTAAGAGGTTTTATCGTCAGTCACCTTGCATAATATTAATGCCGGCGGTACTGTAACTTTTAAGCCTTAAAACTCGAAAAATACTTAATAGAAAATTTCATTTTATTACAGTGTTTTAAAAAGCTGTTGACATCAGCTACTCGATTTTGACATAAAAAATGGATTGTTTCATTTAAAAAAATCGATGTGACCTTTACCTGACTTTGGCGACGCCATCCAAGGTCAAACCCGATGTAATCAGTAAATAGATTTTTTAAACCCTACAACTTTTGTTTGAAACATTTTTCTCAAGAATACGTAGTTTCCGAAATATTAAGGGGTTTTTACACTTTTGATAGACCGTGCATAATTTTGAACATAACTGTGTTGCTTGATTCATGTAAATATAGTTCAAGGTATAAACTTCAAGTTATATGATGTTTACATAACATCCCATTAACATAGATCAACAAGGGATATTTTAAAAAGACGTTCTTACGTCTCAAGACGTCCCCGAATATTTTTTACACGATCTTTTTACATTATTTTTTAAAATCAGTTAAGTATATACTCGTGTAATATAATTATTATATTTGATAAATCCATAAATTGACAGAAGTTTTCTTCATTTTATGCTATATAAAGACATTAAATAAACGTTGTTAACGTTAAATATTCGTTTAATAAGAAATGTCTTAAATAAACACAAGTATTTTAAACTATTAAAACAATGTTTGATAGACATTACAAACTTATAACTATTCATAAGTTTTATCCAAGCTACTTCTTTAAGAAATTTTAAATTATAAATCAAAATAATATCCAAAACTAATGTTAAATTTATTACGATAAGTACTTCGTAATGCTTACTAAATTATATTTAGAAAAATAAAATAATTGATTTTGGTTATATTATAAACAAACACTAAGTATAAGCGTATTCAGGCCTACAACGGTCAAAGCTAGATCTTTTTTGGCTAAATAATTCCCAGTGAATTATCTATATCCTATATATGTACATCATATTTTTGTAGTTATTCAAACTGCGCGCCGAAATTTTTCCGGACTTTAGGTGCGTTCCGTATCGCGCATGATGTGCATGATGCATCCATTGTCCTTGTTTAACATTTGGTGAGCAACAAGGATAAATGATGCATTATGCGCATCATGCGAGAAACGGAACGCACCCTTTATCTAACGCAATCAA